TGATGACCAAGGCAGACTACATCGAAGAAGGTAATCGTCAGCTCTCCAACACTAAATTTTATAAAGAATTAACATGTGGTCCAACCAAAGAAATCAACAAAAAAATTAATGACGTCCTCTCAGAAATGAATAAAGATAAACAAATTGATGACGATACGTACGATTATCTACGCCCAGACGAAACTTGCACAGCCGGTCGATTTTACTGACTTCCAAAACTCCATAAAGAAGGGATTCCAGGGAGACCTATAGTATCAGCTAATGGCCATCCCACCGAAAACATTTCAGAATCTGTTGATTACCACCTTAGACCACATGTTAGACAACTGCCATCTCATATTCAAGATTCAACTGACTATTTGAAGAAAATGAATTCCTTAAGTCCTTTACCTAATGACACAATTTTGGTTTCGATGGATGTGTGTTCTTTATACACAAATATTCCAAAAGATGAAGGAATAGCCGCGTGTGAAAAAGTATGGAACACTCGAAAGGATAAACATCCATAAACTGACTGTCTAGTTCAATTGCTCAAGCTAGTGCTTGAAAATAACAACTTTATTTTCAACGACAAGCACTTTTTACAGATTGACGGAACTAGTATGGGAACAAGAATGGCACCTTCTTTTGCCAACATTTTTATGGGGGATCTTGAAGAACGCATCTGTTTGAGTGTGCCATACAAACCCTTGTCATGACTCCGTTTTATTGATGATATTGACATGAAATGGAACGATACTGCAGAACATTTACAAGATTTCTTAGATCATTGTAATCAGTTCCATCATTCAATTAAATTTACATCTGAATTTTCAAGCGAGAAAATTACTTTTCTCGACACCACCACATTTGTAAAAAACGGGGTCATGACAACTGATCTCCACACAAAGAAAACTGATAAACACCAGTTCCTTTCTCCAAAAAGTTGTCACCCGAAAAACTGCTCCAGGAGCATACCTTACAGTCAAGCCATCAGACTAAAGCGAATTTGCTCCTCGGAATCCAAACTCAACTATCGTTTGGGACAACTAAAAAAACAACTAAAATCAAGAGGATACAAAACCAAAAACATCACAGACGCTTTTGATAAAGCCCAAGAAAAAGATCGAGATATCCTCATGGAATACAAAGATAGGACGACCCGCGCAGATAGAATTCCGTTTGCTGTCACCTTCCATCCCGATTTGACAAATATTTCATCTACTATCCGCAGGCACTGGCGTCTTATCGAAAATGACTCTTCCTTAAAAGAAATTTTTCCATCACATCCTGTTAATGCCTATCGCAGATCCAAAAATCTCAAAGACATACTTGTCACATCTAAAGTAAAGAAACAAGAGACTTCTAAAATTGGGTGTTACAAACAATGCGGAAGAACCAATTGCAAATGCTGTAAAGTCGCGAACACTGACCACTCTTTCAGCAGCACAGTAACAAAGCAGCGATACAACATCTATGTTACATCTAATTGCAAAACGGAAAACAGTATTTATAATCTTACTATTGAACCTGATGGACTTAATGAGAGAGATGAAAAACATTTCTTCCCAAAACCAAAGGAAAAATCCTGAACTTCATTCCATTAAACTAAAACAACTATTTGTTTTGATTTAAAAATTGCTATGTACAATAAGCGGCAAAAATATTTTTCTAGACATTTAACATTGAGCTGCAAAAATTTCTTTATAGCCTCTAACTTTTACCTGGTTGGCTGCACGCGCCTGATGAAGCTAATTTATTTAGCGAAATATTGCGTGAATAATATAAAATATAACAACTAATTTTATAACACTCATTAGTGTGTTAAAGTTACATTCTTAGGCACTTATATATATATATATATACATGCAGATTTAAGTGAATTAAGAATGCAAAAGATGACTTGACAATTACTAAGACCAATCATGCAGTACACTTCTTTTAACAAGCAATTAAAAAAACCTAGCATAGATATACCATGGACAATTGATGCAAAACAAATAAAGGATATAATATGTAGATATCACATAACACTGGAAGCAGTAAGGTCGATGCATATGATATTGACAATTAAAAACATATTTTTAAATAAAGCAAACAATAAAACAGGTAAAGATTACTATTCAATAAAAAGACTAAACACCTACACAATGTTAGAATATCTACATAAAAATAGTGTTATTTGTACAATCTTTTGACCACGCTAGAACATAGACTACGAACGGAATATACCAAAACCTATGATATACATTTATGTTACCAGACATCAGTATACTATTGCATCTAGATATAACAGATTATCTATAAAAAGCCTGAAAAATGTAGTTGCCAACAAACGTTGATATTATGATACACTCATCCGTATAAATATTATACCATTATAGTATGTATTGATTATGGTTAAATACCCCCAATCAACAATACAAAGTTGGTAGTTTGTGTTACCAAAAAATACAAAATCAAATAAAAAAAAACATATCAAAAATCGTGTTAAAGCAAAATTTATGTAAATCATTTATGAATGATTTCCTAAGATGACTTGAATCAAAATTTAAAAAGCTTTCCACCGTTGCAAGTTAAAATTTCAGCAAAAATATAGTAATGGATAATTGCTATAAATAAGGTACATTTGTGATGTTTATAGTTATATGTATGACGACTCAGCTGTCACCAGACTTTGTGTTTTCGCTATCCATTACGATTTTTTTAAAAGGGTTGAACAATATCTGTTTTGGACCAAGTGTTGGGTTTGAATAGTAGTATTGATAGAATGTCCAATTAAAGACCAGCTGTGCATGAAAAACATTATTCATTATTATGTCATTTACAAAAGAACTTAAATATAAGTATTCATATAATAGCAAAAAACTCACTTTTCTCGCGACCTTTTTGATAGAATGATGTTATAAAGAAAATCTTTTGAGAACCTGTGAGGACCATCTAATTAAAAAAATGCTGAACAAATTTTGCCTCATTGATGTGATACTATAAGAATCAACTTCGTTTTTTCCAGTATTCACAAAACAAAACAAAAAATACGAAAATATCAGGAGTTTTAAGTTTCTGCCACGGTACTAACACTGGCAAATGTTATTCCTATACATTTAACATAATATAAAAACCAACCTAATATTTGGAGGAAGAAGTAAGTATAAATCAACTTATCATAGAAACCAGGTTTAAAATTGTGTACGCATAACTTGTTTCATATTGATCTTATTGTATCTACTTCACATCAAAAGACTTATGTCATTTATCATCTTACTTGATGCTAAGTGGATTATTCCGTAATATAAAGGGAATGGTTTATTGAGGCTATTAAAATGAATTGAACGATTTTAAAGAAAACCAAAAGGGGATTCATTCGAAAATAAAAGGAGCAATGACAGCCACATGGCCACCTGAAAGATATTTTAAGGAGTTCTTTTTAGCTACTACCGCAGCACTCTTCCAACACCGTTTGCATAGATGATACACCAGCACAACAATGTGACACTCGACATGAGAGACTTTTGTGCATTTCAGCGTGAGAGATATTTATTCACATTTTTACAAGGAGATTTTGCTGGGATATGGAATCAGATTGATATTCGTTAAATGAAGTGGTATAATTTTATTTAGAACATCAATGATCAAAATGAATCAATTTATTTGAATAAAGTGAGTGTTTTTCTATTAGACTGCAAGCGAACAACACAAAATATAAAGGTCAACATACGGTTTTGTGCATTTAATCGGGTGATATAAGTACTATATAGTTATCATCTGTATTTTGGTCCGACGTACTGGTTTCTATTTTATTAAATGCATGTAAAAGGAATACATATTGTTTATCTTCTACATCTTTGTCATCAAATGTGCATTTACATGAAAAACAATCCTTAATTGAAAAGAGAACTACAATCATTAATAAATAAAATGAAAGTGGTAGTACAAAACCCAAAAGAAAAATAACAGATAAAACCTCACATCCCCTTCCCTCTGTTACGTTGCACGAATTCCATTTGCACCGGGTACATGGATTACATTTTGTGATACCTCTAACTGTGACGTTACTTTCATTCTCTGTTTCATCGTGTTTTGCCATTGTCTCTTTTATAAAGTGTGAATATTTTTCAACGTGTTCATTTGGATCTGTGTTGTATAATTTCATTGCTGCTGCAGGTGTCACGGTAAACAATATTAAGGGTAAGTACTGATCAACGAAACTATCCCCACCAACACCATTTGTCATAACATGCGCTATTACAGTTATTATAACGGAAAGACACAACAACTTGGCAATTAAAAAAGCAAGTTGCATACGAATTGGATAAACTGTCCCAGCAAACACACAACATTTTAAAAACATTTTTTAAATGTCATATGGACGTCTCTCACAAAATATTTCAATAAGATATCATTTAAACATAAAAAAAATGTTTATTTTATTGTTTTTGAAATGTTTTATTTCTAACATTTAAGTGAAATGTTTTTACAACATTAACAAAATATTATTTGCTAATATCTTTTTATTCATGTTCTCAAACATTGTTCTAAAATATCCCGTAGATATTTTATAATATAAAAAAATAATATTTTCGTCAATTGGTATTTTATATTTTAACAACATTTAAAGTAAATATTTTCCAAATATCCAAAAAACATGTGAAAAATGTCAGCTAAATGTTTTCTATAAAATATTCTGACATACACATTTACTTAATAGTCTTACTGATATTTTATTCAACATTTTACGGATATAAAAATAACATTTCATTCAAACTTTATTCAAAACCCCACAAACAACGTTTTGTGGAAATAGCTCGTTTTTTTCAGGATAAGATATAGTACTACATTTCATCAATATCATGACAAGCAAGATACTATGGTTGAAATCCTTAATTGATATCTTGAAGATCCTTAATTGAAGTCAGATTTATTCCTTCTTATATTAAAACTCAAAAGAGTCAACATTAAATTAAGCAATAATGTATTTAATAAACAATCACCTTTCTTTAATGTTTATTCATTTCGTTCGTGTATATTTTATAAATTAAGAAATGAAAACTGTAACTGTACTAAGTTCAATTTTCGTATCGTTTATATGCCTTACGGAAAACCGACCTTTTCCGGAATCGACTTTTGTTTTATCACCGGAAATGATTTTGAAATTTGAATTTCGAAACGAAGACAGGATATCAACAAAGAGAGCCAAGAAAATTGTTTGTTACGCGATATATACTCACTTGGTAAGAATGGTTAATATGTTAAGATGAAACTTGTGCATTCATTGTGTGTGTTCAATCATAATCGGAACCAAATTACATATGTTTCTGGAGGTGCGGATCAAGGTTTTGAAAAAAGGGGGCCCCTGCCCAAGGCAAGCAAACGTTTGGAGTGATACTTGTAAATAGTCTATACATTTATCTTACAAGTAGCTCCATAAGGGGGTCGGGCCCCTAAATCCGCCACTGTTCAAGCATCTACGTACACCAATTATGAATTTGTTCATTGATATAAAAAAATTATAAGGATATGTGGCTTGTGTGTTTGATTGCCAATGGCAATACACCTTATCACTATTTGTCCGCCATTACTGGCCATGGACATCACAAAAGTTCCCGTAAAATGTTGTCATCATATTAGAATATATTTGACACAATTGAAAGTAATACACCTTATTCAGTGTTATTGCTATTTGTCCGCCATTACTGGACATCACACAACTGTCACAAGTTCCCTTAAAATTTTGATGTCATCATAAAAAAAATCTGATGCCACAATGGAAAAGTGATTGTTGTTTGACGTCAAAAGTTCAAGCAGGATAGATTCTCGGGTCAAGCGGGAATAGCGATAAGGTGTATTATTGTATGACGTTCGGTCTGAGGACACAGTTATCGTCCTTATATTTTCGTTGTCTACAAATATAGTCCCTAGTGTGGACAGTGTATAACTTGCAATTTTTTTTCATACACTTTCCAAATTTATTTCTTTATATTTTATGCATGAAATATTAAGTAAAGGGATGAAATTACATGTTAAAAAAAGTTTGGGTGCTGAATCTTTATGTTAAGTAGTGATTTGGTCCAGTTCAAAAAGGTCAAAAACTAGTATGTCTGAAGCTGTCAAAACTGAATTTTAGACCCCCTTAACATAGAATTGTCAATATTTTGAGTTAGAGCTGGTAGAAGTTTCTATAATTTTGATATTATTTGTACCAATAGTAGTACACTACACTGTAAAAATCTTTTTGAGATAGAGCAGGTGCGATTTTTTTTAATTTGAATTTATTGTCTAAAAGAAATGCACTACGAAATAACTGTGTTCTCGGGCCGTATGCTGACGTAAAAAGTTCAAGCGGGACAGATTTCCAAATACTGATATAGCGATAAGGTGTATGAGACAGCTATCCACCAGAATTTAAATGACTTGGATAAAAGAAATTATAGGTCACTGTACTGCTTTCAAAACTGAGAAAACCAATGCCATATAGTCCACTTTGAAGCCTTGACAAACAAATGTTAATTTTTTCTCAACACAATTGAAACAAAACAACTAACTGCCTACATTAAATACACATTATGAAAAAGAAATTTGACAGACTTAAACTAACAACAACTATTGCAATAAGCATGACTCAATACCTTGTTTCCGAGGCACACAAACAAGTTACAATAACACTAATATAAGCACCATTTGAATATGGAGATTTTTTTTCTAGTAAAATTAATGTATGTATGTATTTGCAAAACAGTAAACTAAATTTCCCTTAACAGCTTAATGAACATTACAAAGACTATGTAAGACTTCAGTACAAGCAAGATAATATAAACTGTTGCTTAAAATTATATTTATTGCTTCATACACATAATGTACATACAATGTATCTTTTATTTTTTAACAGGAGCTAAAAGAAAAGCCACAAAGGACAAGTTCAATATGCAGGTTTACAATTTGGAAGTGGCACAGGTTCTTTGGAATGTCTACAGCCTTTCAGGAGAATTTTTTTTTGAAGTAAGATTTTTATACAGAATTACTGTTATTCCATATTTAATTCAAATATTTAGCATAAACAATGCATTACATTCAAGATTAAGGGCATACAATACAGAAAAGATATCTGGATATTTGAATAAATTATTATTTTTGTGACAAAATAGAAACAAGTTGTTTATTTAAATCAATCTTTTAGTCCAACAGTGTGCTTTCATAAACAACATATTTGCTTTCCTTTGAAGTATTTCAAATACTTATAAACAACTCATTTAATGACATCTGTGTGTTTCTCGGAAGTTAAGTTATATTATTATCATCATTGCGAAACCAATGCTTAACACTTCGATAAGTTATTATGTGCCTATAGTATACTTCTAGGACTGTATCATATGCCCTTAGATACAAATGACAAGTTATAAACTATGTCACTCTACAGAGTTTAACACTTAAAAAGGACAATAAGATGTTTAATGACATTATGTAGCAGGGCTTTTAAAGGCCCCTACATGATACAATGCATTTAATGAAAACTAAAAAAAAAAACAAGAAAAACAACAGCCTGATTTATACAAAACAATAAAAGAAAAAAAATATGATAGACAACAATCAATGAGTATAATGAAATAAGACTCTTGACTGGACACATATCTAGTCTAAATTTTTTTTTTTTTTTTTTTTAATAACTAAAGTTCAGCGTGGCATATTCATGATATTGTTCTCTCTTAACACGGTCAGCCATTTATCGTCCCCTTCCGACAGACTATCATCGTTATTTGTTTCAAAACTTTAAAGGGGAGGGGATGTATATCCTTCAGGCAACGTGAATCGTTCTATAATAAAGGAATGTGCAAGAAGTTTATATATGAATGTAAGATTAATTTTTTTTCAGAAGCATGGCACAGCAAGAAAAAGATATAAGACACTACAAGACATTCCAAGTGATTATGAATAAGACAATTGATTGACTTTTTCAATGTATTCTTAAATAAATCAAATAGTTGATGTAAAATGGTGTTTTGTTCTCATCTCTTCAGCCAATTATCAATGATTATTGACTTAAGATGTAACCCTATTAGAAGTGTAGCGTTTTAGTTTAGAAAGAGAAGTTGTATTGAAAAATCTGAATTTGGGACACAAGTTTTTAGTCAATGTAACTTGAACTTAAAATGTGTATAATGTTTGCATAATGTCCAATGGCATATATGTCATGCATGTTCAGGTTGACATATACATGATGTGTATAAGATAGGTAATAAAAGTTGAGAGTGAAAAACTAAACATTATACCATTGTGGTTGGAATGTGGGCTTTCTTGCAATGTCTGTCGTCTGTCCACCTATATTTGTCGGATTTTGTCCAACAAATATTTTCATCACTGTTTTTCCCAAAACTGCTGATAAAGATGAGTTCATATCAAATGAGCTGCTTGATAGTGATGAACTGTGATGTGTGAACATTTTTATATCTGGCACCTGTTTCCTGTTTGCTTATACATTGTATTTCATAATGTTGAATGTTCTCAAATTTTTCATTACTTAAATTAGTAATGCTGATGAACAGAATGACTTCATATTTGGTACATTTGTAAGTGGCTTGACCATGATGAGTTGTGTCTGCCATTTTGGATGTGTCAAAATTTGTAGATACTTCTTGTTTTTAGAGACTTTGAATTGTGAATTTCATATGCTTAGCAAAACAACTGATTTATTCTTGTTTGTATATAGAATTAATCACTGTGTATAAATTAATTTAACTAATGATTTGTTATTTAAAAAAGCTGGAAACTCAATCAAAAGTACAGAAATTTTTATATTGATATGATCTAGATATCCACCGAAAACATCTTCTTAAAACATTTTGAAAACATTTTTAAGCCACAGTCTCACTTGCAAGAAAACATCCAAAAAACATTTTTATAACATTATTTGATGTTCATGATGTTTTTCAAACGTTCAGAAAATATTTCTAGAAAATATTTTTTAAAAGATTATCAAAATGTTTTATACGCCATTGTTTTTCACATTATCATGATATTTCTTTACAACATTTTAATTATATTATGCAAATATTTTAGAAAATATATTAGAAAACGTTTTAGGGATATATATTCTACCATACATTTAATGTTTTTCTCACGTTTTTTTGTGATATTTTCATGACATTGGACACAACATTTTAAAAACATTTTAAAGATGTTTTTGTGTTTGCTGGGGTGTTAGCAATTATTTGAAATTTTAGAATAGATACTTTCAAATCTTTTGAGCTCGTTTTATTTGAAGATGCATCGTCCAAGCTATCTTTGTTTAAAGACGTATTGTCCGCCACTTTTTTGTTTGTATCATCCGGAGTTTCTTTGTTTAGAGATTTATCTTCCGAAAATGAAATACATTTTTTTAATAATTCATTGTACGGATCATAAAAATCTTTGTAGAATATTCTGATGTATGAAAACACAGTTATAACTAGTGTCCAAAATTTGAAAGATATCTTATAAGTTGGAATTATAATAAAGACATTGAAGATTACAAATCGAAGCAAAATTGATAATGCTGACATAAACATGTATCTGCATACCATTATAGCGGAAAGAGTGTTAAAGACACACAAATAAAGCACTGCAAACTTTCTGGCAACATGCTTTGAAGCGCAAGTTATAAATAATATCGGAGCGAAAAGAAAATATATAACCGGAAATGCACACATGCAAATATTTAATACCAGACTAATTAAAGTCATTATCAAAAGACCAATAAATTTCCAGAAACGCTTACATGGGTTTCCTTTTATATGTTTTCGTAGAGGTTTCAGCAGTGAGACGTAAAATGCGCAGGTAAAAAGCAACCCTACTCTGATAAGTATAGAAAGTACAAACAATGTATACCCATACGATTCATACCTGATAGGGTCTTGTTTTTTGTTACCATTTTGTAACAGCTTGTCTATATCAACGTATTTCATTTTTGACTTTGACCATAAAGAAAAAATGAAATATAAATTCTTGATTTTTCTCAAAATTCGTATTTGGATACTAATACAGACTGAAAAAAAACCAAGAATAATAAAATATATAAACAAATACGCTCCTATTGAATTGTTCATATACGAAATTGTAAAATCAGACGGCAAATATATGTGCTCATATTTTTTCCAATCCTTATTAAAGGTTGTGCTTAGCTGTCTGTATAAAATGTTGATAATTGAGGATATAAGTACAAAAATCGTTATCACTTTATTTTCCTGCGAAAAAGCAATACTACCAAAAAGTGCTAACCTTGAATGTATAAAGCTTTTTTTATTTTCGTTCGAAATAAGTGTAATACCTAGTTGTTTATTTAAGTTCAAAAGAAGTCTAGAAACACTATAAGGTGTGTCAAATGAGTTGTAATTTTCAAGTCGACTTTCAATGTTTTTAATTGAAATTTTTTCAGGAAAAAAGTATAACAAGACTGGAGAATAAATGAAAATGCTTATCAAAAAGATAATAATTAGGTAATTTATGAATGACTTTTCGATGTATGAATCACAGCCGTTCAATTGTGCTCTACACGAAGGTTTAAAACATTCCATTCCATAACCGACGCAGTATGATGTTAAATTAAAAAGCGTAACTTTCCATTCTTGATTTTCGAAATATCGATGACACAGCTGCCAGTCTGATTCATTTTGAACAAATGTATCATGAATGAGGTAAAAAAGCGATTGTGTATCATTTTGATAATCAAAGGTACATCCTGCAGGGAAGATGTCAATATATATTGTAAGATCCTCGGTGTAAACTCCTTTAAGAAGGTCGAAGGAAATCGCATGAATATCTTCAGTATATGATAATAAAAATGACATTTCGTTTTTTGTCCAAACCCATCTAAATAGACCACTCTCCTGTTTTATATTATAGTTACTGTTATTAGCATATAGTTTGTCATCTGAAATAAGTACGTCGATATATATCATTTTTATTCCAGAAGTTAATAAAGTGTTAAACTCAATTTTCTTCTCAGAACTGTTAGTTACCGTGAAAACACATTTGTCGGTAGACATGCTTTTACCAAACAGTACTAGGAGATTTAAGCAGATGAATTCAAAGAAATCGTTGTTCATTTTCTGAAACAATAAGAAAGTATAGCGAAGTTTATAATTTGATATAAATAATTTTTCTTACTTTGGGAGAATAATGATTAACCGGACGTCATGGCCTATATAAAGACTTATGTGAATATTTTAGTTAAAATATTGAAAAAAGAATTAATGGTACTAATTTCACTACCGTCAGAGACACATGTCTCGAATTACCTTCAGCTCATCGGGTAATATTAAGGACTCTTTTTGTATATTTTCAAGATCTATTTCAAGATCATTGTTGCTACATTTTGACTCTTATTCCCAAATCATGTGACATATTTTCTTTCCTTTTACAGGTTCGTAGTCAGCATGTTGACAGCTGCACTTTGTGGATGTTATTGTGTATTTGACTTGAACGTTATTTGGTCTAGATAAGCATAGTGCAGTTGGTGCGCACATAAAACTATATGAACCCAACAACATTTTATCGCTTCAGCAAATTAGGCTATATGGAATATTTGTTGTTGATTTTTGTTTGTTTATGTTGGATGCCTTCTTATCCACGGAGTCGGTTGTTAGTGGTTTATGTAGCTTGTTGATCTGTCTGGTCAATATCTTTGGTCATTCCTGGTATTTTTATGGGTTCGTTCTCGACCAAATTAAGTAGTGTAGTTAACATTAATAAAACATGATTATTCGATAACAATAGAAAAACACTTACCTTAAATGTGTAATAGTAATATATACTTTTAACGTACGGTTCCTTCTGTACTGCAGACAAACTTCAAACTTTATTTTGATTAGGTCACCTTGTACAAGATTGGTTGTATTATTCGCTGTACAAAGATGTTATTATGTTAGACGGATCTATTTTGTTGAATTTTATTCAATAACTTTAAACATAACGTATTATGAGTTCAAGTATATTATATAATATTGAAATAACATCACGTGGTTATTTCAGTGAAAGCGTATGTTTTAAAAAATTGTAATTGAAATGTAACCAGGCGTCTTTTTTACTTGAACCATGTCTTTGCTTTCTTGTATTAATTTCAATAAAAAGTTGATAATTTTAATAAAAATCTTTGCAAATATTCAACATAACATATTTGTCTATTCAGTATCAATGTAAAAATTAAGAACATCATGTTTAATACACCAATGCAAATTGTATACAAGTATGTTCAAACTGTTCAGCACATGTTGGTAAACAACGTCAAAACAATGGATATCCAACCAATGACGTAACGTTATCATTATTTTGGTTTGCAAATAATGAAATTACCCATAACACTCAAGAGTTTGAAACAGCGGATTGAGTAAACAGAATGACGAGAAGGTTCAATTGGTGCGCCTTCTTTAACACGTAAAAACTTTACTATAATAATAAGTATATTAATATGCAATAAATTAAGGTACAGCTGAAATAAAAATATCACCCGATCGTAGAGATTATGAATACTTTAAAAATAAATGTGACGGATAAAATAATACAAACGATAGTTATATTTGCTACAAAGTAAAGACTCACTTACAAATGGATAATTGACAGTGAGTATTTTTATGTATAAAGAGTAGAATGTTTATAATAAACCTAATTATTCGCTGGAAAAATTAAAAATAACAATATTTTAGTAAATAACATCTCTTTTCAAAAATCAAAACTTTGTGGAAATATAGGTATAAAAAAGCAGCATTTGAAAATTATGAATTTAAATCGGGAAAATCTTTTGGATTTTAATATGGTAGATATGAATATTAATATGCATAAAAAAAGTCATTAGAATGGTTTTTGATTGAGATTAAAGGAATTTATGGGGTAATCGTTTTAATGCAAATTAAAGAGGCTATTAGTATTATAGTTAACATTTCAGTGTAGTGAACATTTTTAATATTGCAGCAAATCGCTATCAAGATATTCGTGGGACGTTTTAGTTCTTATCATTTCCTT